CTTTCATTACTCTATGACACCTGAAGTGTTGTTGATACTGGAAATTAGCCAGCTGTTTTTCCAGGTAAGGTACTAGGAAGTCATGTTCTTTGTTGAAAGCTGATTCTTTATGGCTACAAACGTGCAGTGTTTCAGCAGAAAGCCTTGAAATAAAAAAAGGAATAAAAGAAGGAGGAAAGCCTTGAAATGTCAAGGGTTAATGTAATAACCCTTAATATCCTAACTGCACGTAGCAGGTTTACTCTCCAACAATGTGCGAGCTGTCAGGAAGGCACAAACCTCGTCATCACCTTCCATCCCTCCCACTCTTTCCGTTTCCCCAGCCTGCACCAGTGGTGCTGTAACACAAACATAACTAAAATAGGCATACTGAGAAGTCATTGAAGACGTTTGTGTACATTAAGGACTGCTTGGTGAGGATAAAAATCAAAGTTGACGTGTCTAAAAGGGCCCACCGCTCCTGCAGCGAATCTTCTCCTGGGAGATGCAGTAGGAAGCAGAGATGAGGGAAAAGTGATCAATAAGATGCTCTTTAAAGACCTGACCTCAGAGTCATTGATGACTGCTATGTGGGAGCTACAGGCTCCCTTACTAGACAACCTAAGGGCTCCTGAATACTTGCTTCAGAAGGGCTTGTTTGTCTTTGTATTATAGTCAAAAGGCTGTTGAATACAGTGCTGGGTGCATCTGCCAGGATACCGTACTCATCCATATTCTACAGTATGTGCATTTAAATTTGTGCGTAAGAACACCTGAATGCAAATGCCAGAAATGCTTTAACAAATATATCATATTCCCTTGCAATAATAATGTATCTTCTTTGCAGGAGACAGCTCCATGAGGAAAGTTAAACTTTATTTTCCTTTGGGAGATTGCAAACCAACTGTACCATTGCCTTTTTTGTGCTTTACGCCACCGCTTTAGTGCTTCTTATATGCTGGTGATGTGAGGATGAGGTGAGGGGGTTGTAATCTGTAAGGTATTCACTAGATGCCACTAAATTCAACACGCTGGTCCTTCAAATCCTGAATTGTTTACATTGTTTGTAAGCAGTATTTGCTGTCCTGGTCTTTGTGCAAGGCTTTACTAGTGGTCAAACACTCCACAAGGCCTTTTAATACCAGAACCTTAACATTTGTATGGGTTAATTCAAAACACCAACAATTTAAAGCAAGAGACGAAGTAGAGAGGTAGAGACGATGTATGAAACATAATCTTTTTCAGTGCACTTACGCTGTTTCATTCATTGTTGAATGGATTTGAGGTCATAAAGTCACTTGGCTTTTATAAATGGCTTTGTAACGTGTATTGTAAAGTTATCTCAGCCTTTATAACTGGTATTTTCATGATGTAAACTTGTGGCACTCTCTTCCCAATATTTACTTAACAGTAGTTGTTGGAGTCCCATATTGTTTTGCATTGTGTTTTACCAACGCTGGAAACTCACTTGACATTTGCATATTATTTGGGTAAAAACAGTCACATTATCTCAAAGCCAAGTAAGCTAACAATGCATAAAATAAAATAAAAATTATAAATAGATCAGTCTATAATACATATTATACAGTTTTTTACTACACTTCATATCTATGACCATCAATGGATGCAATTTGTTATGTATTCTGCTGTTGCAAAGTATTTCATCCAGACAGAAAATAAAACGTCAAATATCAAAAGTGTTTGACATTATAAATGTGGGTTCTTCACACTGAATGCACTCTAGAGCAGTCTCCTAATCAGGGAACGATAAGGTATATGTTATATGCATGCCTTAGCACAGACAAAATGCAGTCAACCATTTTATCCATTAACAGTTGTCAACTGCTGATGGCCAAGTTGTTAAAGCCTACTTGATTGAATATGGCCATCAACACACTTCAGCTTCAGTGAATGCTACACTGAACCTGTACCTGCACTTCTTGTAAGACACACTGAATACAAGCATGGGCTAAGGGATTAAAAACTAAAATCTTCATGTAAGATGCGTTAGTATGCAGCTTGAGGAGTCCAGCTGTTAGAGTTAGAGTTATTCAGTAAATAAAATTCCAAATTTGGGAGAGCAATTTGCACAAATTGAGCAATGAAATTGAAAAACAATGTTGAACGGTTTTGCTGGTGTCTCATAATTGTGATATTCATCCATTTATTTTAATACCACAATATGTCTAGTTTCCACCAGCTGAGGAGGTTAAATACTGTTATACTAAACATGAAAAACACTGTTTCATTAGTATTTGTCTTGCTTTATTACTGTATACCAGACTTCCCAAAAGTCTGCAGTCACTAAAGAAGCATAAGTTAAACTCAGATGTACAAAACAATGAAAATGGTATGTCAAAATAAATATTAAAAACGAAATCTTTCTTCTTCTTGCAATGTTTTGTGTTTTTAACAGAAGTCCTTGTACGTCTCCCTGTCATAATGCGATTCAATATGGGGTTGTGTATTTCAATTAGAAACAGTCACCTTTATCATCATTCATTGAAAAGCTTTTCGAGTTCTCTATAAAACACATTTTGGTAATTTGGAGTTCAAATAAAATCCTGATTTTGTTTTACCAATTAACTTAATTGCTTGGATCATTAATGGACACTCAACTTGTAAACTGGATATTTTCAGCGTAGTCACGGTCAGCTCTTTACATATATGTAGATAGGTGATAAATGTAATGTATAAATAAAGTGTCTGAAGCCACAATGAGCTTCCAGAACAGTTTCTGTGCTCCCTGCCATAAATATTACACATTTCTGGAACGTTACTGGAGGGATAAAACACAGTTTTTCCACCAAGGCTGAGTGATTAAGCCATGTCAGGTGCCATTAAATCAATTATACTTTCAATGAAGAATCACCTCAAAACGGCTCATCGTTTGTACAGATAGTCAAAATTAATTCTGTAGTATTTGGAATAATAAAAAGGAAAGGAGAAAATACATTGAAAAAACATACACACAAAAAAACTGCTGTGAATGATGAATCCACAAGATAATCTGTTTGGGTGAGCGCCACAGCCTCCCACAGCTTCAATTACCCTTAAGATGAAACCGATAAAAAAGTAGGTCTTAGATAATCCTTGAAACAACCCCTTCGGTTAAATTAAATTTTAATAAGATAATAAATACTGAAGAGAGGAAATTTGTGAAGTTAATGCTGAATTACAACACAGTTTTAGGTTGTGTGTTTCAGTCAGGCTTGTGTGATTCTTCAAAGCAAGTCGCAATGTGGAGAAAGAAAAACATTGACATTTAAACACTTAAATGGGGTCTGTAATAAACTATTATGGACGTGACATCCAGATGGTGGATCAGTGCTATTAAGGAAGCACAGAGCAAAGACAGAACTCTAATAAGCAGGGACTGCAGCGCGACAGAACCAAATCCTCAAATGAATGGCTAAAAGATTGGGGCTTGTTAGTAAGACGCAAGAAGGGAAGAAAGAGGAAAGACATAAGTCCAAGCAAATGAACACAGAGGGAAATGCAATCATAATATGTTGGTGAATCTGTCCTTGTTTGGGCATTTGAGCAAAGTCTGTGCAGCAGTAACTACAGCAGTGACAGAAACAAAAGTTTGGAAAGAGTGACAAAAAAAATGGAGGGAAAAAAGGAGTGAATAAGACAAGTAAAGGGAGGGAAACAGCCAACCAAAAGGCAGAAGAAAAGAAAAAAAAATACAGTAGAGCCATAGAGTAAACACTTACCGAACACCCAGTCATCCTAAGCCCCAGCACTAACCGCGACCACAGCTACAGCACAGCAGACGTACATGTTTACATCGACAACGAGATCCCTCGAAGGTCTGCCTCTTAACAATCACAGGAAAACCTCACGCAAAAGCAGAGAAAAAAAAAAAAAAAACACACCTGCACCACTAGCCTACACTCTCACCCACCCTGATTTGCCTCTCCAACTCTGTTAAATAGTGAGAAGAACGATCATTTTACAGTCTGACTGTTTTGCAGGAATCCCCTTTGAGGCATGTCTCCAGCCAGTCGCTCTAAAAGCAACAGCTCAGGCAGGCTACTCGCTCTTCCTGCTCGCCTGCATGGATATCTGCTCCAACCGGACGAGCCACTGAGGAATACTCCAGGGAAGGAAGTGACATCGACAGGTGCTCCCTCCTTCCTTCCTTCCTTCCTTCATTACTCACGTAAACAATGCCCACTTTCCTGCAGTAAGCCTAAATGACACTTCCGTGAGTCATTTGTTAATAAATACCAGAGAGCGCATTTAATTTGTTTCAAACCGTAGCTCAACTAAAGTGTCACTCGGGAATAAGAGAGGTATGTGAGATGTCGCACAAGGGAATTAACATCATTAATAATAAGCAAAATCTCTTTAGCCCAGTTTGCCCTGTGCTGGATTCCCAGGAATATGCAGGGCTGGAGCGAAGCCAGAGAGGAAAGGAGAGTGTGTATGTGTGTGTGTG